TGCTGGATCAAATGGTAGTTATACTTTTCATTCTTTAAGGAATCGCCATACTGTTTTCTGTAGTGGTTGTACTGGTTTTCATTCACACCAGCAATGTAAAAGTGTTCCCTTTTCACCACATATACACCAATATCTACTTTTTAAATTTTTAAATTATGGCCCTTCTTGCAAGGGCAAGGTGGTATCTCATTGTGGTTTTAATTTACATTTCCCTGATAATTAGTGAAATGCAAGTGAAGAATACCTTAACTGCTTGCAAGTGTTGGCAGTTATGAATAAAGCTGCTATAAATATTGCATGCAGGTTTATGTGTGGACATAAGTTTTTAACTCCTTTGGGTAAATACCAAGAAGTGCACTTACTGGATTATGTAGTAAAAGTAGTTTTGCAACAAATTGCCAAACTGTTTTCCAAAGTGGTTGTACCATTTTACATTTCTACCAGCAATGAATGAGAGTTCCTGTTTCTCTACATCATCAGCATTTGGTGTTGCCAATGTTCTGGATTTTGGCCATTGTAAAAGATGTGCACTGGTATCTCATTATTATTCTAATTTGCATTTCCCCTATGATATATGATTTGATCATGTTTTCATATGCTTATTTGCCATCTTCATTGGAGAGGTATTTGTTTAGTCTTTTGCTCATTTGTAAAATCAGGTTGTTCATTTTCTTATTGTTGAGTCTTAAGAGTTCTTTACGTATTTTGGAAACAATCCTTTATCAAATGTGTCTTTGCAAATATTTTCTCCAACTCTATGGCTTGTTCTCATTCTGTTTCACAGAACAGAAGTTTGTAATTTTCATGAAGTCCAGCATATCAGTGATTTATTTCATAGATCATGCCTTTGGTGTTGTATCTAACAAGTCATCACCATATTTATGTTCATCTAGGTTTTCTCCTGTGTTATAGTCTAGAAGTTTTACATTTTTTTCATTTTACATCTAGGTCTATAAGTTATATTGGGTTTACTTTTATGAAGAGTGTAAGGTCTATGTGTTAAGATTCATGTTTTTGTATGTAAATGTCCAGTTGCACCAGCGCCATTTGTTCAAAGTCTATTGTTTATAGTATTGCCTTTGCTCCTTTGTCAAACATCAGTTGATTATATTTATCTAGGTCTACTTTTGAGCTCTCTTTTCTGTTCTATTGATTTATTCGTCTATTTTATACCAATACCGTAATGCCTTGATTACTGCAGCTTTATAGTAAGTCTTGAAGTGATGTGGTTTTGGTTGTTCAGTTTTGTTCTCCTTCAATATTTTGTTGGCTATTGTGGGTCTTTTGCATTTTTTATATAAACTTTCTTATTAGTTTTTCAATATCCACACAATAACTTTCTGGGATTTTCATGGGGAGTATATTGGATCTATAGATCAAGTTGGAAAGAAGTGATATCTTCATAATACTGAATTTTACTATCCATTAACTATGAGCATAAAATATCTCTCTATTATTTAGTTCTTTGACTTTGTTCATCAGAATTTTGTAGTTTTACCATATAGATATGGTACATGTTTTAAGATTTATGCCTAGATATTTCATTTTTGGAAGTGCTAAAATGAATGGAATTATTTTTAAAATTTTAAATTCCATTTGCTTATTCCTGGGATATAGTAAAGTGATTAACTTTCGTATATAAACCTTGTATCCTTCAAGCTTGCTATAATCACTTACTAGTTTTAAGAGGTTTTTTGGACAATTCTTTTGGATTTTCCACATAGATGATCATATCATCTATGTGGAAAAGATAATTTCCTGCAGAAAAGACAGTTTTCTGCTTTTCTGCCAATTGTCTTTTTGTTTCCCAATTTATAGGTCTTTTATTTCATTTCCTTGTTTTATTGCATTAGCTAATACTTCCAGTACAATGTTGAAAGCAGAGGTGAGAGGAGACATATTTGCATTTTTCTTGATCTTAGCAGGAAAGCTTTGAGTTTCTTGTCATTAGTTACTTGCGGGTTTTGTAGAAATTCTTTTTCAAGTTCAGGAGATTTCCCTCTATTTCTAGTTTATCAAAAGGTGTTTTTTTAAATCATGAATTGGTGTTGGATTTTGTCAAATGCTTTTTCCACATCTAATAATATGATTATGTGATTTTTCATTTTTAGCCTGTTGATATGATGGATTACATTAAATAATTTTTGAAAGTTGAACCAGCCCATATACCTGCAATAAATCTCACTTGGTCATGATGTATAACTCATCTCATGTGTTGTTGAATTCAAATGATATTTTATGAAGGATTTTTGCAAATACCTTCATGAGAAATATTGGTCTATAGATTTTTGTTTTTCTTGTAATATCTTTGTCTGGTTTTGCCATTCGGATAATGCCTACCTCATAGAATGACTTAGAAAGTATTCCCTCTATTTCTATCCTCTGAAACAGATTATAGATAATTGGTATCATTCATTCCTTAAATGTTTGGTAGAATTCACCAGTGAATCCATCTAGGCATGGTGCTTTCTGTTTTGAGAAGTTATTGATTTTGATTCTTTTTTAAAATTTTATATTTTCAAATTTAATAGTTGTATATATTTTTACAGTTTTAAAAGCTTGTTTATTATCTTTATGCACTTTTGATGAATAATTCACTCCTGTGGTTTCAGTTAAAACTATTCAATATCTCAAATATCAATCTGTTTCCAGATGTTTAGCATACCGACTTTCGGATGTTTTCAGTATTTAGTCTACAAAGAAAAGCTGCATTTAAAAATGGGAGTTATTAAACCAGAATGTGTATAACCAGAATTCATCTAAAACTAATTTGGTTACAACAGAATAAAAAGGAAGGGAAGAGAATACAGCAAAGGTAAGTATTCTTTGGTTGATATGTGTATGAATATGTGTCTGTGTGTTTCTTATCATAAACTGTATTTATTTAATGTAATCTTTGAACCCAGAAAGCATTTTAAAATTATTCTTTTCAAAGACATTTTTATAGTCACTCCATCCCTTTCTCCAATTATTTGCTCAAAAATGGAGTGAGTAATTCAATTCTAGCCAACAATATTTTAGGAAAATTCCTCATTCTTGAAAGGGATGAGAGGGTCATCCTTCTGTGTCTGCTTAAAGAAGTCAAGGCACCTTATGCATTTTAATAGCTGTCTTGAGACAATGAGGAAACTCAACCTTTAGTTAAAGACAAGAAGTGCTAGACAGAGGTAAGTGGAAGTTTGTTCATACCAATCCTAAAACCCAGTCGACCTCAGGATTCCTAATAAGAAAACCAATAAAATTCCTTATTTTGTAAGCCAGTTGAGTATCTGATATTTGTTACAGAAAGGATCCAGTTTGAAACTCTAGGTCATTGTGTAATTTAATGAGACAATGCATGTGGAACAGGCAGTACTATCATCATATAATAGGTGATTGAAAAGGGAAAAGAATCATGCAATTGGTGGTTTGACTTATGCATGACAAAGCCACTTCACTGAGTTTTTATCATGATATAATGAGTGTGTACATTGATTTATCATGTAGTCTTTCTAAATAGAGGATAGCATATGGCTTAGACCAGTGGATCCAGTGTCCTTCTAATAGATGCTTTCTGAGCTCTCTATGAAGATAAGAGACTTCATCTCCTGCTGAAGGAGTGATGTGGTATGTTTTGCCCAAGAACACTACAGTATCCTGTAAACTTTGGAAAAATTACCCTATTTAATTCCATTAATATATATAGTCTTCAAATAATTATATGAAATTTAACTTTTTGGAGAGTAAAATCTCTCCAGTGCATTTTCTTTCTCTGGTGGATAAGGAAATCAGAATGTGTCATGGGCACACTTTTCCCTGAGTCTTCACCATCTGTGTGTTGTTGAACATATTTTCAGAGGAGAAATTGGGACAAACTTAAATGGCGGTTCCCCAAAGTGAGTTTTTTCATCACAGGCAGTCTGACAACTCTATACCAGCACTACTAAATCTTCTAATTTTTTTTCTAGAGCCAGCCAAGCTTCTAGCCTGTTAATAGGTACTTTCAACTATACTAACAAGGCTGACATACCAAACAACAGCCTTTCAAATGCAGCAAAATCAATGACTTGGATTTGCCCTGATTCCTGGAGGTTGACAAAAATGGACCCCGATTAATTATGTTTTCTACCACATGCATTTCTTGGAAATATTTCAGGCAGGGGTGTGTCAGATTTATAAGGGCTATTAAGAAGAGTGAATACACATTTTCATCTGTATACATAATTTATGCTAGTGGAATACATTTTCCATGTGTGTGTATAAAAACGAGCAGGTTGAATTGTGTTTGTGGAACGGATACTATCCGGGCATCACATATGTGGCATTTTGCTCTTCTGCAATTTCAAGTTTGTAATCTAAGACACAGAATTACTTAACAATGACTATAAATGCATGCTATGCTGCAAAGATAATTGCTTTTGCATTTCATCTGTTATTTGCTAGCATAACCTTTTTTTATATGTGAATTTCTTACCAAATGACTTCCAAATGAATATTTTGGAATACAATTAACTACACAATTAACTATAGGCTCCCAATTTGGTGCAGTCAGGAGATATTAGAATGTCTTCTACACCAGTGCTTCTCAAAGTCTGTAGAAGAAAGCAGAATTTCCCCCCTCATTAATCACTGACCAATTATTTTGAAAAAATATAACAAAAGTAAATTATTAGAAAAATGAAATTTAAAAATATGAAATAAACCTTTAAAAAATTTTAGTTGAAATAGACATAAAATTATTCATTGTGTCAGATTCTATAAAAGTTCTAACACTCGCAATTTCTAAATTTATCACAGGGCACATCAGTGACATGTAGTTCACAGAGACACTCTGGTTCACAGACCCCACTTTGAGTGGCACTGCCCTAGATAACGGTTGGTAAAAGAACTTGTGCACCTTTCAAGTTTCCATTTTGTTAGGAGATACTTAGAAAGTTAATAAAAATGTATTCTTTGTCCAAACTGCACAGGTTTGTGGGATCTGATAATGTGTCCTAGACTCTATTTTGGTGGTGGATTTCTGCAAAATCCATCTACAATTCCACTCTGGTTCTTCTGCAAATCAACCCTTGCTTAAATCTCTTCTGTGGCTTCCCATTGCCCTCAGGATGATATCAAAACAATTAGCCATGACACAATGATCTTTCCCCTCTTCCTATCTCTTCAACATCTTATCTGCCACTCTCCAAACAATCCCAGAAAACAAGATCATATTAGAAAACCTCAGAAGCCAATTTGAAGTGCCTCTTACCAAAGATGGGAAAATTTGAGCAACATATAAATAATAACTGCAATAGACTGAAAGACACCAAATAGATTTAAATCCATCTGTTCATAATAACACTTTAGAAAGGTATTGGGCCAGGCTAACTCAGTCAGTAGATCATGAGACTCTTAAAAAGGTCTTGTTCATCTTTGGAGGCTGCTAGGGAACTAACTCATTATTATGAAAATGGGTGAGTCAGGGAAAGATACAAGCATTCATCCTTTGTTATACAAACTTTGCCTCAGAACAAATACTTGATAAGAGAAAATTTCCTTTATAGAATTATTTTAACTAATAAAGAATTTCAGCAGTTCACAACCCCTAATGGAATAATGGCTATGTTTTAGTAACCACTTAGAAAATAAACATGAGATGCAATTTTTCAAAATCATTAAAGTGTTGAAAGAAAAAATAACCTAACCCATTAGCAAGAGGGCAGAGACAAAAGAGTAATTAAGCATCTAAACCAGTAAGTATTAAAAAGGACAAAACACATCAATTCTGAAAATACACATGTAAGTATGAAAACTATCAGATGACAAAACTCTCTGTGTGGGCAAGAAAACAAATTTGACCTATATATTTTTTAAAAGGTATGTTAAAGCCAAACCATAGAAATAAAAGGAAAACAGCAGGCAAAGATATAGCAGGCAAGCACAAAAACATTTGACAGGTGGCAGTGTCAAAGATACAAACACAACAAAGAGAAGACAGTTATACACCTCTACGGACAAAATAAAATGGTGTTGAACTATATAACATAAAATACTAGGAATATAAATAGAAATTGATAAAGCCACAATAGTAGTGGGAGACATCATGCCTTTTTCAATTTGTGATGCATAAAAGGCAAAAAAGAAAAAAAAGAGAGATGTACCTACTATGGTTTATCTCATTAACATACACACAATAAAATAGTTTTTTAAGGTATATAATAAGTCTCAACTGTTTTGTAATTTTTTCCTTTTAATTGTGGTAAAATACACATAACAAAAAATTGACCATCTTAACCATTTTAAGTGTATAGTTCGTACAGTTAAATACATTTACATTGTTGTGTAACCAATCTCCAGAATTCTTTCCATCTTGCAAAACTGAAACTTCACATCCATTAAATAATTCCCTATTCCTCCCTCTCCCAAGCATCTGGCAACCGCCATTCCACTTTCTGTCTCTATGAATTTGACTACTCTAGGTACCTCGTGTAAGTGAAATCATACAGTATTTGTCTTCTGTGCCTGGCTTATTGCACTTAGCATAGTGTACTCAAGGTATTTATGGTGTAGCCTGGGTCAGAATGTCCTTCCTTTTCATGACTGAGTAATATTCCATCATCTGTCTATATAATATTTTCTTTCTCAGTTCAGTCATCTCTGAACACTTGGGTTGCTTCTACCTTTTGGATCCTGTGAACAATGCTGCTATGAATATGTGTATGCTTTGGAAATTTTTTAATTAAAAATCAGTATTAGAGGAACCATTTTGGGATGGGCATTGAACTGGACACTGGATGAGAAATCATGTCGCCCTTTTAGTATCACCCAGGAAACACATCTTCAATTCATAAATGCAAAATTACAAATTGGTATGACTTTGCCGAGGTCCCAAGGAAATGAACAGCAAGCCAAGCTTGGGTTTGAACTCAGGTTTGTCTGCCTTCAAATTTTGAACTCAAATAATCAGATAATTAAGAAGAAGGTAGAAGAGATGTTTGTTTTTAACTGCAACATAAAAGGAACTCAGCATTCACGTAATTAATTTCTATTTGCCAGTTGTAACCTTCCTTATGCGTACATTTTCATCTCTTTGTTTTGAGAAAAACAACCTCCCTCATCTTGTGAGGTCTGATTCTTCTTTGTAGCACTTCTCTGGCCTCCTTGCTCCCTGCTCTGCCTCGGATAAATAAGTACAATTCACATCCCAGGTTACTTTTTGCCAATCACCCTCACTGAGAATTACTGATACAGAAGAAAGGGTCCAGGTCCCCATCCAAAAAATGGAAATAAAATAAAATTGCTCTAAGAATTGAAAGAAGTGATACATATAAATCACTTAGTGTAATGCCTGAAACATTATCATGTGCTCAATGCTGCTCTAAGTCATCACTCTTAATGGCCCCCTTAGTTTCCACTGTATCATAATTGATGTGATCACTCTATTGATGGATAACAGCTCATTGCTATTTTTACTATTATAAAAACAATACACTATATACCTCTGTATGGCACAATAGCATGCACAATATAATCTTATTTTTTAAATATCAGACATGCATAATACATATACACATAGGTATCTGGAAGAAGATAAAATGGTGAGGCTTGTGTTTCCAACTTTAGACTTTTTTGTTTTGTTCTTAGTCTTGTTTTGAGCAACAAAAATGTATTAATTTTAAAAACAGAAAAAAAAAATTATTTTAGAAAAAAGAGAATGCTGTAATCCCACACAAGAGAAAATCTACAACTTTCAGAAATGCAGGTCTAAATTGAAAATCAGTTCTTCGCTGAGTGAATATGCTTGTAATTAGCTGCTTATTTGAGACGAAAATGGGATACATGCCCATGTTAAACGTGATATTTATCTAAAAGAACTAATTTAAGAATGATTATCACACACCAAAGTGTGTAGTATTTTACCAAATCTAAGATGTCTTCAATTATAAGTTGCATCATTGTTTTATAGGCCATTAAGAAATAAGAAAAATTTCTAAATAAACTATGACATGTCATTGATTCTGAAATGCATCCTGATTTCCAAGAATTCAGAATGTGAAAATATTTGCAACTTAGACTTGATAAAAGAGTGTCATTCGCTTCCTGTCATTAATTTACTTCCTCATTTATTCAGTATATAACTCCCTTATCCAGAAATATTCTTCCAGTCCCCTAACATTCAAAGCACTGTTTGGAATTGAATTTAAAGATAATACATAAAATATTAACTCTCTGCTCTCAAAAAGGCTGAGGCATGAATCTATGTAGTAAACTATAATACAATATTTTCATGCTAGATCTGAAGTAAATAGGTGATGTTAGCGGGGCAGACAGGTCAGCACAATTACTATTTTCCTGAGGACACTGGGGAGCCTTAGTGAAGACCGTGTGTCTCATGTTCCCTTGAAAAAGGAGCACCTTTGTCCAGACACACAGAGGCGGATATGCAAAGGTCCAATACATCTTCTGCCAGGCCCTCTGAATCCAGCCCCGTCATTCCTTTGTTTTCTAAATGTGTGCCTCACATACATGAGGTAGGAAAGATTACATCTCAGCCTTGGCTTGAAAAATGAGAGAAACAGGTTTTTAAAAGGGCTTTTGAAGCCTTCAGGATAATAAGAAATTGCCTCAGATGCTGCAGTGAGCATCTGAAATCAGTGCAAAAGGTTAAAAAAGGAAAAGTGTATAGTTAAATTTGCCCTGGAAAAAAAATAGTAAGTCAGCTTAAATTACCACAACTTAAGTACCTAAAGTTCAAAAACGTGATTTTTTTTTTTTTTTTTTTTTTTGAGACGGAGTCTAGCTCTGTCACCCAGGCTGGAGTGCAATGGTGCGATCTCGGCTTACTGCAACCTCCGTCTCCTGGGTTCAAGCGATTCTCCTGCCTCAGTCTCTCGAGTAGCTAGGATTACAGGCACCTGTCACCACACCCAGCTAATTTTTGTATTTGTGGTAGAGACGGGGTTTGCTGTGTTGGCCAGGCTGGACTCAAACTCCTAACCTCATGATTCACCTGCCTCAGCCTCCCAAAGTGTTGGGATTACAAGCATGAGCCACTGCGCCCAGCCAAAAACGTGATTTTTAAATTTCATTGTTTTGTATGTTTCACATGATAGCTTTCTTTGCTTTTGGGGGATTAAGGAAAAGTTCTTAGGAAGGCAAGTAAGAAAATAAAAGAATTCATTCTCTCTCGCTCTCTCTTTCCAGACTCATAGTTGAATTTGCCTAAGTTAAATACCCAAATAATGTGATTCCACTTCAATCACTTACAGAATTCAAAGCACGTAATCACTGAACAGGAGCAATAAAAATAAATACCGTGAACCAAAGGCAAATCAAAGGAAACCATAAAACTATAGTCATGAACCAAAGGAAGGAGCAAGGATGGATTCAAGACAGAAATCAAAGAACATGATAAAAATTCAAGCTAAATGTTTATATTTTAGATGATTATTTACATAGAAGAAGTGAGCACTGTTTTTAAAATATCCAGATAACATAATGCTAGATACAGTTAAAAATGAATGTTCCTCCATCCCCTTCTGTTTCTTTTCCACAGATACAAGCACTGTTAACAATTTGGTCTATATTCTTTTGGAATTTCTGCTCATAC